AAGACCAGCAATGTTCGTAGAGGTTCTCCAGTCAGGGCAGGAGGGAATTGTGCTACGATGGCTCGCTCGACGGAACCCAAAAGGCGTCCATCGCGCCTCAAACCACGACAAAAGTAAAGCGGGACACATTAGAGTGACATTAGGGATCTTCTTTAGTGTCTTGAGGAAGGGGGAGTGTCCACACGCTAGCAGCAGGTCCCGAGGAGACCCCCAAGGATGAAACGCTTTTTCAAGCAAGAAGTTCCCTGGACTAATCCAAGAGGGGATGCTGGCTTTGGAGGAAGGCGTCGCGAAAGCTTTCACGCACCAGATCATCACAGCCTGGTTGTGTTGCTCCCACAACTTCAGCGCGTGGTGTAAACCAAGGACCTCCTGCGTGCTTCGACATGAACACAATGTCCTTCTTGATCAGTCGTAGGCCATGCGTGGAGCTGGACGGGTTGATTTCTTCACCGTGGAGGAATTGGAGCATGGCGTTGTCGACCAGTTTGGCCAATGACTTGTCCGCAGGGACGAAGGATACCTGGTACCACAGCACGGGCAAGCAAATCGAGTGGAGGATGGCGACCTTTTCAGCAAGAGCCCGAGTATTGAAGCACCACAAGGAAAACCGCGCGATGAATTTGTCAAAGACATAGGTGAAGCGTGTCTTCGGTGGCAGATTCGGTGCGACTAGAATGCCCAAAGCCTTCGTCGGCGAGTCGTCGGTGACTCGAAGGTGGGAGAGCCGTGGTGATTACGGACTGTACGTTAAGATTTGCGTCTTGTCGATCTTGAGGAGGAAGCCCGATTTGTCGCAAAAGCGTTGCACCAGTGCGAGTTGGCGGTGCAGGGACTTTTCGGTGGAAGCGTACAATTGCGAATCGTCCACTAAGCAGCTTCCCGTGTGGACTCGGTCGCCAGTGCGAATACCATACTTGGGATGTTGGCGGAGTAGCTCGCCTTGAAGGACACCTCGATGGATCCGAACCGATGGGGACAAGTGCCCATTGATCAGGATTCGTGTCCACCGACCAGAGTAAGGGTACGATGTCAACGAAGGTTTTCGGAAATCCATAGCTGTGCAGGACTCAGAGCAGGTATGAATGGTCCACCCGGTCGACGCCTTCTCGCAGTCCAAAAGGGCGACCATGGATGATGGATGAAGAATGTTCCTTCATGTATTGGAGCATGTCGTCGAGACGTTGGGTGTTCGTTTGGAGTTGCTGCGACTAGTAAAGCCTTGCTGGTCCTCGTGGATGATGCTGCGAACGTGTCGTTGTAGGCGATGGGCCAAAATACTTGTCAGAATCTTCACGTCCACGTTGAGGAGAATAATGGGACGGTAATCCTTTGCTTGGAGCTTTGGACCTTTCATGTGGAGCAATACCAGTTTGTACTCACAAACGTATCGGCTTCAAGTGAGGTCTCGAATGCAGCTGACTTCGAAACACCAACTCCACCATTTGTGTGGCGCCAGTTTAAGGACCTCAAACGGCAGAGCATTGGGGCAGGTGCAGAGTTGGAGCTGCTGTGGCGTATGGCGTGGTAGAACTCATTTGCCAACAGCGGAGCTGCCAATGCTTGTTGCGCTCGAAAGGACAGTTGAGCGTGTTGTGTCAGAGGGCCAAGAAATGCGTCCAAGTCGTCGGCACATGGACGAGAGTCCAGGGGCGCAAACAAGTCGGAGTAGTAATCCAC